CCATTATACCAACAATAAATATTTTTTTGGGGACTCAACCCATCTGTGGCAAGGAAATTAAAAACAAAGATAAGTAATTGAGATTGCCTTAAGTTAAAAATCTACGCAGTAAAAGAAAATTCAAGACAATGAGACACTTTATTGAACAAAAAAAAAATGTTTACAGAAGGTAACTGGTAAGGAATTAATAGCTAAGATATATAAACATATTATATAATTCAACATTAAAGAACAAATAATTAAATTAATAAATGGGAAGCAGATATGAATAATTTATCAAAGAGGATATCCAGAAGGTCAAAAGGCATGCTCATCATCACTTCTAATAAGAGAGATACAGATTCAAAACTACAATGAGATAGTATCTCACACCTGTGAGAATGGCATGTATTAAAAGACTTCAAACAACATGTGTTAGAGAGGATGAGGAGAAAAAGAATCCTATTACACCACTGGTGGGATTGTAAAATGGTCCATCATTGTGGAAGTAATCTGGATTTACTTTAAACAATAAACATAGAAATACTGTACAATCCAGCAACCCCACTTTTGATGAAAGTATTAATAAACTCCCCCTTATCTATTCTACAATGCTAACAGAAGCATTATTTACAATAGTTATGATATGGAAGGAGCCTCACTGTCCATTGATGGATGAATGTATCAAGATATGGTATATACATACCACGAAGTATTATATAGCTATTGAAAGCATGAAATATATAATCATTTTCAACAGAATTGAGGGGTCAAGGGCCAAAAAAAGGGAAAGGAAGGACACAAGGAACGATGGTGATGGATCATAGGGGCTGTGGTGAAGGGAGAACTACAGGGACTATACCTAAGGGGAGAAATCAAATACTGTCCAAAAAATTAACAAAGATGTAGGAAATAATAATAATAATAGTAATAGAAAGCAAAGTAGTCTGCAATTCTAAGCAAAAAATGGTCAATGAAAGTGTTAGAACAAAATATGGTTTTGACCATCTTTGATTGAGGATATCTTTCTTAAATAAGAAAACCAAATCATAAGGGAAAAGACCCAAAGTTGATTACATTTAAAATACAAAGTTTCTGCACGACCAAAATAATGTTAAAAGACAAGTACAAGATTGGTGAAACTTTTACAAAGTACATGAAATAAAAGGTCAACATGGTGGATATTTTACAAAGATAGGACTGGAGTAATTGCTCCCAATCCTGTATACATGAGCTTTTGCAATGTTATTTTACTGGTTCTCCTATAAAGGAGGAATCTGAGCTGCCCAAGCAATTCCTTTGTCCAATAGAATGTGGTGGAAGTGACTGTGCAAAATGGTCAAGAGGCCTTACAATTTCTGCTTAACTCTCTTGCTGCTTTGAGTCCACCTTATAGACCTGTGTGCAGACCCTCAAGGATGAAAGACTCTGTGGAGAGAGCCTAAGTGACAAAGAGCAGCAACCATCAGACAACAAGTGAGGTCATCATGAACCAATTAACCCACGTCAAGCCAACAGGTTGTAACCACATGAGTAACCCTAAGATCAGAACAAGAACAAGATCAGAACAAGAATCACCCAGCTGATCCCAGGGCATGTTGTTAACATAGAATCTCAATAAAAAATGAAATGATGATTGTTTTAAGTCACTAAGCTTTAGGATAGTTTGTTATGTACCATTAACTAAGTGGGACAGTTGTCCATAATTTATGAAGAAGTCCAGTAAAAACAGCAGATAGTACCTCAAAACGGTCAGATAAGTCATGAAACAAGCAAAAAAAAATGTTGTTGAGTCAAAGTTACTGACTTGAATCAAAGCTGGAAGAGACTTGGTGATGAACTGGAACAAGAGCTTGGACTACACAAGCAACCGGCCCGGATCTGAATACTGGGCCTCTCACCACAGCTGTGTGGTCTTGGGCAAGTTAGTCAATTCATTCTGGGCTTCAATTTCCTCATCTGTAAAATGGGTATATAAATTCTTTCTATCCCATAGGTCTTTGTTAGGAATCTCACATTCCTTAGTACAAAGCCTAAGAGTACAAAGATTAACACATTTGTATTGAGTACAAGTTAGCGTTGCTTGAAGCACTGAGTAAAAGTTAAGCTATTTACTGAATGCAAGGGGAATAAAAAAGATATATCCTCCTGTATGCTGAAACTGATAAAAAATATGTTAGATCATGTTCATATAAATATGTGTGTATAATGTATATATGTATATGTATATACACATATATTCATATTTGACACAATAGGACATGAATATGTGCTTGAAACTATAATTGTTAGACTTTTTCTCTCTTGTAGCCAGCATGATATGATGACTTTACCAAGAATTGGAATATAAATTTTCTTCAAAGATTTTTTTTAACACCATAAATTAACAAAAAGTATTAAGCAGCTTCTACCTGCGGACCTTTGGAAGTTGCAAGTTAATAATTCAGTTTTTTTGTTTTTTGCAGGGATAATGACTGTGTATAATTCAGGGCACTTTCAAGGAGATTTAAAATGTTAATATATATGAAGTGCTATGAAGACTGCCTGACATATAAAAGGCACTTGACAAATCTCAGCTACAGTAATTATCTTTATTCTTACTATTATTTTATTGGATGTCCTTGATATGTTAAAATCAGCAGATCTTAAATAAGGGTGCATCGCTTTTTAAATAACCCCCCAAATATACTACAACTTTAAGTTGTGATGTACTTCTTCGGTCAGAGATACTAAGAAAATAATGCATATAAGGATTGATTAGGTTCCTAGTTGCAAAGAATGATTTTAGCAGCTTAAGTAATCATAGAGTCAGCAGATTGAGAGAGAATTTAAGATGGGTGAAAAAACCATCCAGTAAAGAGAAAGAATACAGGGTCCTGGTTTTGTTTTCAAGAATGCCTGATACTAGTGAATCCAGTTTCTGGGGCTGGAAACAAGAGACAAATACATGTCTTTTGCAGACCTCCTCCCTTGGCAGTACAAACTTGTTCATTTCAAACGCAATGCCTTCGTGGAGTTAGAGGGCCAAAGGATAACTTCAGTCAAGCAGAATATAAAACTTTTATAATAACAAATTACCAAAAAAAAGTCAAAATATAAACTAAACTGTTAAACTCATTATTCTGCCTGGATCAGTATACTGCATGGACAGAACAAGGCAACATTATCACAAGGTAAACTGAAGCTAGTGCATTAGTAACTACTTGGGATCCAAGATACTCCTAGGAGCATTACTCTTTTTGAATCCTCATTTCTTTTGCCCTCTTGGGGCAGCTCTTCATCCAAAGGCCCTTGTGAGAATTTAATCCACTTCCTCTTTGCAGTTTCCACTTCCACCAGCTGCTTCTCTCATTACCTTACTGTTCAGGCCAAAAAAGGCCAACCCCAGGTTATTCTAATGATAGCAAACACCTCATAAAGAAATCTGCCAAATTTGCTTTTCCATAGAACATCATTTTTATGGCTTTTCATGAGTCCACGAGGAAAGAAAGCATCATGAAAAAATATGACTTCCAGAAATCTTGAAGATATTAAGAATTATTCCCACAGTGTTAGACTGGCAGATGCACCACAGTCTACAGAAGGTGGTACCTTCAATTCGGAAACACAAAACTTCTGTCACTCTACCTGTCTGCTCACAGGAGAAATTGAGAGGACCCCCAAAAGATAGGCCATTTTCATAAATGTCCCAAATTTAAAAGGACTTTGGGGTCTAGGGGTATTCTTTCCAATTCCGAGTTTTGTATTCGTGTACAAGATTTTTAATTTGTGTTTGAATCTATGACACCTTGGCAGAGAGAAAACTTGGTATTATGAATCAATAGTTTGCAATGTGTGACCCTTCGCAAGTTTCCTAACCTCTCTGCACCTCAGTTTTTGTGTTTGAAAGGGGGCATATTAACAGTATAGTATCTCATTAAATCAGTTAAATTCTGCAAAGCACATAAAATTGCCTCACATAGTAAGCACTATGGAACTATTTAAATGTAAATTCTTCTCTTTTTAATAGTAGTTTTCCCACTACAACATACCTAAAGATGTGAAACATGAATCAGCAGGGTCAAAGATTGTAAAGTCCTTTGGGAAGATGAACAATGCTTCTCTCCACATTGCAGGTTACAGTTTTTGAGCGGCTAATTTAAGGAGGCGTTTTAGGAATCACAGAATCCCACTGCTTACTGGGAAAATCCCTGCTGACATCTACCCAAGCTCCAAGCCGACAACCACACCTCTAAACGCAAGGAAGGGCGCTTTCCAAGGCAGCGGCAGACAATCTCTACCGTGAGTCTGTCGCCCACTATACCCTCGCGACTAGCATCCCTTCCTCTGCCTCGGAGCTGAAATAGATCAACAGAATCCTATCCCTCTGGTGAAGGTCACAGAACTTTGCTATAAGTTTTAAAAATACAGATAACCCCTGCGCCAAACAAGGCAGGTGCCTGGACTCAAAGCCTCCGCGGTGGACGAGCTCCGGGGTGACTGGAGAGACCCCAGAGGGACACCGGGGCTCCGGAAACACGTGGGAAGGGATGTCTACCCCTCCTCCTTGGGAAGTTATTTTCTGACGCTTGACCTTGCTTCCGAAGGCGTCCGGGATGGTCTGTCTTCTAAACTTTGGGGACCACATCCTATTGTAAAGTCGCCTTCCACCCCCTTCTCCCTCAATGTTACTCAGCCTCTAAAAGGCAACCGAAGACTGGCAGCACCCCAAAGAAAACACATACACACGCCACACTTCCTTCTCCCACCTCTAGCCTCGCACCCTCAGATACCTGATTTCAGAGCGCCCCGGAGGAGCACGTCTGCCAGATCCTGGAGCCGGGCTCAGCCTCCAGGCACAGACCCCGGCTTCGTCTCTACCTTTGAAGGGCTGCCCCAGCAAATCTGCTGCCAAAACAGTTGCTCCACGGCGGGGAGGCGGGGACCCGCCTCCTCGCTAGCATCTGGCGCGCCCGCTCCACACCCCGCCGCCCGGGGCCGGCCGCCGCGCGCGCCCCTCTCCGGCAGCGCAGCGCACTCACCTGCAGCAGGGTCCGGTTGGCTTTGCCGGCGGCTGCGTCCGCCTCGTCCGCCGCTCCGGAGCCGCGCAGCACGGTGATGTGGAGCGTGAGCAGCAGCAGCCCCAGCAGCAGCAGCAGCTCGGCCGCCAGGCGCACCATCCTCTTGAGACGCGCGGCTTTAGGACCCGGCGCGGCGGGCGGCGGCCGTGGCGCCGGGGGAGGAGGAGTCGGAGCCCGGGAACCCGGCGGCGCGGCTCCCGCCTCTGCCCCCGCCGGGGCCCCGCTGCCGGAGCCCGCGGGGCTGGCGCTGGGTGCGGCCGGGCGCGCCGGGCCTGGGGAGCAGGAGCCGCCGCCGTCGCCGCACCACGGCGGAGCCACCGCGGGGCCGGGGGCGTCCAAGCCGGCTGCGGAGCACACCCCGGCGCTCCCCGGCGGCGGCGGCGGCGGGGTCGGGGTCGGGGGGCTGCCCGGGACCCGGACCGGGCCGGGGACCACCCTGCGGGAAGGGGGTTGCGGGGGCGGCGGCGGGGCGGGCGCAGCCGAGCCCCCGAGCGCACATGGGCGCCCCAGATGTGGCCGCGGCGCCGCAGCTGGAGCGGGAGCGGCCGCCAGAGGAGCGCGGGGAGCAGGAGGAGGAGAGAAGGAGGAGGAGGAGAGGGCGGAGGAGGGCTTCAGTGGCAGCCCGGAGTTACCTCCACGCTCGGCTCCCCCGCCCTTGCCGCCCGGAGCCACTCACCCGACGAGCCACCTCCCCGCCTCCCCCGAGTTCCTCCGGGCCGTGGGCCGCGCCGCCCCGCGGTGGAATCCTGGGGTGAACCGGCTCCAGATGGGGTTCCCGGGCACACGGGGGTTGTCACTGTTTGGAGGTGACCTGGGCGCCCCTCGGGAGTCCGCGCCGGCTTGCCGGAGTGTGCCGAGTGCGAGCCGCTGCTGCTGAGGTCGCTGTGGTCGGTGAGGGCAGAGCGGGGTGTGCACTGAGGCTCGGGGCTGTGGGTGGGTGTGGGTTCCCGGGCGAATTAGGGAAGCTTTATTGACAAAATGGAGTTGGAGTTGTCATGGAGAACCGAGGGGGCTCCGGATAAGCCAGGTGTCTAGGACTGTGCGCCCTGGTCTGGAGCAGGCGTGAGTGTGTGAATGGAGGGAGACGATAACGTGTCGTTCCAGAAGAGTCTTGACACTTGTCCTGGGCTGTGGATCGCCCGCTCCCAGCGCAAAATACGCTCACGGGCGGAGACTCCCGGTGGGACCTGCGGCGCAAGGCGAGTCCGCTTCGCTGGGCTTGGGTCGGGTCGAGCTCGCAGGTGTCACGCTCGGACGAGTGCCCTCCGCTCGGGCGCTCGGAGCGTAGGTGGGTAACTAAGGGTGAATCTCAGCTTAAGCAGTCGCGGGTCCGGGGGCTCATCCCGGGGGCGCCGCGCCGGGAGGGCACCTGGGGGCTGCCGTCGCGCAGCCGCTGCTCCTGGGCCATCGCCTCATGACCGCGCTGCAGCCTCCGGCTCCCGCGCGCCGCTCATGCCGTGCAAAGGAGCAGCTGGCGAGTGGAAGCCTTGCTGGGTCGAGCTGAGGGCTCCCGGTCTTCACTTCGGACGCAAGAGCGGACTGAGCGCGGGCGGTGAGCTCAGATCACTGCAGTGGCATCTCTCGTTTCTCCCTCGCGTTCTTGTTCCGACTCCCGCCTTCCCAAAGTGGCTCTGAGTGGCGGACGCGCTGTTTGGCTGGGACCTTTTATACTGCGATTCCCCCGCCTCCCACCCAGCTCCCTCCCTCCCTCCACCCCCGCGCTGGCCCAGCCCTTCCCTTCCCGTGAGTGGTGCACTCGGTCTAGGCGTTCGCACACGTCCCGGTCACTAATTGCCGTGCTCATCCCGATTCCCAGACTCCAGTCCTCCGGGGTCTTCCTTGGTTACTGAAATGAAATAAACCTTTCTTGCCTACGCCCCTCTCCTCGCTCCCCTCTCTGTTCTCTCCTCTTCTGTTCTGTTCTGCGCTCCTGCTCCTTCCTTGCTACAGACTGAAGATACTTAAATCAGCTACCTTCCAAGTTCATACCTTCATGCAAGACACAGCAGCCGAGACTTAATCAGACAAGAAACATTTTCATCATTCGAAAGTTCCGCAGATCACCGTGGCATTTGGTACAATTTAAATTAGAAGTGGTTAAGGTTTGGTGAGCTGGTTGGGTTTATTTGTGTGAAGGGAAGGAAAGGCTAGTTGCTTCTCTAAAGATTCTTTGGGTGTCTTTATTTTTAACCAGAACTAGCAAACTTAATGAATTTGCCGTTGTTTATAGAGCACACAGTGTATTTTTCTTTTTAGTAATTTGGGGGGGGGGTAAAAAGAGGATCTGTTTCAGAGGAGTGCTTACTTTGAATTTTTAGGTGCTGTCAGACATCTTACTGCAATATCCACACTCTAAAATGCCAATAATGGTTAACTGGAGCGCTGGGGAAGAATTTGAAACAATAGACCATGGCTGGTTCAGATGGGAGATCAAAGAGGGCATCCTAGGAGCTTTGAGATCCCACCAGGATCCTCCTGTGTGTTTTCTAATTAAAGTTACTCAGAAAGTGGGAGAGAGAGGGAGCATCAACACTTGGATGAAATACATATATTATGAAGGCTAACTAGAATCCTAGCACCAGAGAAAGTTTAAGGCTGTCCATCCAGCAGCGCTGGAATATGATGTGGGTGCACAGGGACAAATGACTTTCCAATTGCCTCAGGCAGCCTGGTCTAAATTAGAATCCAGGGGCTTGCTGTGTCCTGTATTTTCATCACATATAGTCCCCACATGTGAACCTCAACTGCCTTTCCTCTTGTCTAAAATTAACATGTTTGAATCCTAAGGAAAAATAACTTCTAAAGACGCTGGAAAGAAATCCTTGCAGTGAGTGTAAACTCTTGTAAATTTGTAAAGGGAGATTTGGAGATCAAAGTCTTTGTAAAATGTTGTAAAATTTTTAAATTGAATTTGAGGGAGAGAAGTCTTTATAAAATGCTGAACAAATGTATGAATGAATCCTATTAAAATCCTTTCACGCTGTGAGATACAAATTCCAGGTGAGTTTATGTTCTAGTGAGCGCACATGACTCTGGTAAGCACACGTGTATCAACTAGTATTGATATATGTCCATGCTCTGTGACTAAAGTCATAAGCAAGACTTACAATGTTTGTGGAAAAAGAATCATAAATTTAACAGCCTAAACAAATTAATTTTCAAGTGTATTTATGAAATCATACCAACAGCTGATGAAAGTTTTAGAAACTCTAACTTCCTTCATCAGAGTTCCCATAGCACCTATTCATATCTTTGTTATCAATCTTACTATCTCCTAGTAGAATGTGTCTCTTTGCATGTCTGTATCCCAGACATAGATCACCTTTGTGATAGAACATTCCACAGTATATATTTCACCCACACCACAGTCCCTCTCCCTCCCCAGAGTTCAGTTCTTTTCTTCTGGGTTCACAACAGCAGGTCTAAGTGGGGCTACAAAGATCTCTGTTACTTCTAGGTCTGCCAATAAAATGCCACAAGTGATCATTTATACTTATTCTCTCCTTTCTCCATAAAAGGGATTCCAAAGTGGAGAGAGCCCAAATTTGTGAGTTACTACTCCAAGGAGAATTACTAAACCAGAAATATCTGCTTTTAACCTTACACAGTGATACTGTGAGTCTGGGATGTTTGTTATAGCAGCTAGTATTACATATCCTGACAAGTACAACCTTCCAGGCAGGGACACCTACCCCGTCATTTTATTTCTAAATCTGGTTATGATGCCTTACATAGAAAAGTTGCTCAATTGTTATATTAATGAATATAACAGATGAGGTTTTTATTTAGACCCTACCCAATAATTTAACTTTCCTTAGAAAGTTTCCTACTGTAAAAGAATTACCTATAATGAATATTAATTACTATAATGAGTGTAAATTCTTCTGTCTCTTGGTTACACTATGCTCTCATTTCTCTCCTAGATTCTTTTTTGTTCTGTTCACTTATTTTACAGGCAAACTTATTTGACTGCAATGTATGGAGAAAGTAAGAGAAATTAGTAACAAGGTAGAACATGTAAAGTAAATAAAAATGAAGAGAACTCTGTGATTTATTATGGTCAGAATTTTATTGTTTTTACTTAATTTTTTTAAAAAAATATTTATTTATAAATATCATATATAATTCAATAAATGTATAGTTATATAAATACATGTATTTTTAAAGATTTATGGAAATTTTAAAATACATGTATTTATATAACTATACATTTATTGAATTATATATGATATTTATTATATAATACATAGTATATATCGCATATGCACATTATAAAGAGATTTATATTGCATATGGGGAGATTTACAATATAATATATATAACCTATACTATATATTATATGATATATGACACATATTGAATGTATATTATATACAAATGTATATGATATTTCATAATATTTAATATATTTTATGTGTCATATATTATTATATATATTTGTTCTTGTTAAGGGAAGGAAGGGTTAGTTACTGCTCTAAAGATGCCTTGAGCATCTTTAAATTCTAATTAGGCCTAACATCTCATTAAAAAAAATGGCAGCTGTTTATGGAGTACATATATTTTCCTTGTCAGTACTTTTGTTTGAGAGGGGAGAATAGAAAGGAGAGATTTATATATATATATATATATATATATATATATATGTATAATAACGAATCTTCATTTCATCAACCCAGCTTCTAACAAAGCTTATGGTCAGTCTTGTCTCATCTATATTCTCATACACTTCCTTCCTCTCAAATGATTTTGAGGCAAATTCATGGCATCTTATCATTTCACTTGGACATATTCCCTTATGTGTCTCAAAAGGTAAATGTATGTTACAATTAAAAACATTGTAACACACGTTTTTAAAAAAGATTTATTTATTTATGCATACAAGAACTGGGGTACAGGCACAAGGTGAGGGGGATGAGAGGGTTCACTAGAGACAGAGTGGGGAGCAGAACTGACGGATTGACTGAAATACACTGCTGAGGGGAGCAGTGGGTGAGACAAGAGAGGTCTGCTGCGCCATGTAACACACACATACTTTTACATGAGCTTTAAAACAGACTTGAGAAATCAAAACCAGAATGTTTTTCTGGGTGTAAAAATTA